GAGGTTTCCTATCCAAATGTCTGCCAGAAAAAATGCACACAACTCGCGACATTTTTCCCCTAAACCCTAAACTATAGATTGTTGCAATCAATTTAAATTTATGTTCAGAGAGAACTTTCCCTAGATTTCGAGAATCAATTGCCTTCTCCTGGCAGGGCCATCGACTTCTGCACCGTTGCTAGGCGACGCAACTTCGACTGCTTGTTGCTTAGCAACGTATTCTTTACCAGGCACCAGATCCTGATTCAAGTCTCTGTATTCGAGTGCTGGGGAACCTGGATCCAAGTTTAAGGTTCCATCTATCACTTGTCGGTCTGGCGGTTCGGAGACCACTAATCGTTGGAGCTTTCTGTAGGGCCTTTCTCGAGGGGCTGGGCTTTCCAGCAGGTCCCTGAGAGAGAACCGCTCGCAATGGTCCCCCGTGAAAAAGGTCGGACATCTGCAAATGTTTCTGTGAAAGCATCTTCCACCATTTTGACATCTTGGCATGCAGATCGCTACAAAATGAAACGAGATAGTGTATATTATATCAAGAGATTATGATCCCGAGATCATATTCTCTTGTTTATACAAAGTAACAAGGGCTGTGATCTTTTCAAAGCATTACATTGAATTTAGCAACACCTTCAAAACCAAAAAGACTGTCACGGTGGTGGGGTTAGATATGATACGTCGATAGATTCTTAACTTTACACACTTAAACTGGAGGTCTAGTTATTCGGTTGTTTTGTCTAAGTTTAGTTCATGTTTCAGATCTAGTCCAAACTGAATCTGCGGGAGAAATTAGGAAGTATAACTTGCAAATTAACGATTATATCATTAATCTACGTTCTCATGCCATTATTCTCAAATTGAACAAATATTGTGAAATGGCGATAAAATTAGAATTTTAAAATCTTTTCTTTATATTGTCTGTGTTAGTAGTTTCCGATTAATGGAACCCCTAACCTATACCAGAGTTAGTTCGGCTGAATTTTGCTACCCTATACTAGAGTAAACTCCCCAAATCCCCCCATCTATCGACACTATTGAGGCTGATTTGCGTAAATTTAAACTTGCNTTTTCTTGACAATGTCTTTTCAATTACATGTATACGAACTCTCCTGATCACGTGCTCCTGGTACAAACCATAAAAACTGGAAAAAAAAAACTATGTGACTAAAGGGGAAGATATCTTTATCAGTCGCTGTACAAACCCACCTTTGGTCTCTTGACGACCGACTTCTACATGTTGGGAGGAGGAAGGTATGCTTACACTACTTGCCCCTCCAGGGTAGAGAGAGGAAATTGGTATGACAATCTTGTCCGGGCCGTACTGGGGCACGGGATTCGGCGGAGGCATGCCCAGATCTTTTGTTACGTACACGGTGGTTTGTTGTTGGCTGTGAACTGGATGCTGAGCATGAAGTTCGGGTTCGTTTGAAGGGTTCGGAAAAATGGCTGACGCTTTTGGTGGCAGTAATTCTGAAACAGGAGAAAAACATATACCTAAATGGTCACGACAAGGAGAGTTTGGTACAATCATTAGACTAACTTCCGAGATTTGATGATGTTTTTCAAACCTGGTTTCTGCTCCACAACCAGAAGTCTTTTCGCTAAGTCTGCCAACGCTGTTTCCAGAACGGTAACCTCGCTTTCCAGTTTGAAAACTTTTTTCTCCAACTTGCGAACTTTTTCATCGTCTTGATTTGCGTAAACAAAACTTGATCCTTTCGGCCCTGGTATGCAAAGACATCCCAATATCAGTTGGATAATTCCAACACTCAGTTCCCAGGCCACTCGCAACGCTCAACCAGCTTATTTCCGGCCCTCTATGGCTTAGCTCTGGCACCTCCCCAGTCTCCCCATATCGCATTTAACATTTTTACTATTAAAGACGACTGAAGATGACTGCAAAAAGGCGGCAAAAAGTATTGATTGCGTTTGTGGGAAGTAGCACCCAATTTCAAGAAATGAGTAGCATCTGGCTTGGGGGAGCTAGTTCAGTCCAACTGTGTTAAAATAAAATACAATTGGTTACTGTGCTTGGCCAGTGCTTTTGTACTCTTCATTTGCATATTGTGTTCGTGCTCCCTGGAATTTATATTCACAAACTCTAATTTGAATATTGTGAGCTCTGAAGGCACAACGATGTGTGCACACCGAGCGGAATGATTGATGTTAACGTCAGTTTCAAGTCGCGAAGGAAGCTCTGAAGAGGTTATAGACGGAGTATAAGCGATTTCTAATGGTCATCTGTGCTAACTAGAGGCAAAGAAAGCAAAGATTCGATCATACCGCTGTCCGTTCTGAAGATCAACGGCGGAAAAGCGATGAAACACGAAGAAGATTACTCGTACCTTAAAGAAAAGGTACGTGTACATAGCAAGGAGCTACGCAATGACTACACTGAAAACTACCGAATGTTCAACTTTGTTAAGGCCTGACCAAGCGCATGCAACATTTTGACGCA